ATATATATATATATATTTAAATGATTGATTTTTCTCAAGAATAAGTGCCTCTTGATAATGAATGAGTGTTCACTTGATGGGCCTGACAAATACTTGGTTGAAAGTCAACAATATACAACTTGGATGTAAACAGTATAGAAAAATTGGCATAAACACAACTTTTATATGTTTTGGGAAACCAAAAACACAAGTCTTTTCGTTGTGGTACTTGGTTTCTTGCCTTGGACTGGAACCAAGTCTGCAGTGTCTGGGAGGCCTGTCTGTGTTGTCTGAAGGTAGCACATTCTCTCAGACTTCTGCTTTCTTTGAAAGTATATAAGTTGTTACATTGTATCACTTCACATTGCTGTTACAGAATAGAAGACAATCTTGTCTTTGACAAAACTGGGAAACACAACCAAATAGAAACATGAAATGCATATCATTAACCATTACACATCAAACCCCAAATCCCAGTGCTGTTGAGTCAGCTGCAACTCACAGCCACCCGGATAGGACAGAGCAGAACTGCCCTACAGGACTTCCGAGGTTCACAGGGCTTCCGAGATTCAAAGGGTCTCCGAGGTTGTGACTCTTTATGGAAACAAACTGTCTCAACTTCCTTCCTCATTTTGCCAGATGGTTTTTAATCACCCACCTTTCAGTTGTTGTTTGTTGTTGTTGTATACCATCAAGTTGGTACCCATAGCTGACACTCCGGCAGGTTTCCAAGCAGTTAATGGCCCAGGAGGCGATGAGCCCGAGGAGATTGTCCATTCTTCTCTTGCGGAGCAGCTGGTGGATTCAAACCTCGTGCCTTCAGTATTGCCAGCACAGCTTCTTGCCACTAGGCCATCTGAGCTCCCTAAGCTCCACTTCCATTTAGCAGCCCAATTATTATTTTTTTTAATTTTCTTTTTATTTCATTATTTTTTGTGTGTACCATCAAATCAGATCTGACTGGTACAGGAGGAGATTGTTCCTCCTTCTCTAGCAGAGCATCTGGTGGATTTGAACTGTGCACCTCTGAGCTTATAGCTGCAGCTTCTTGCCAGTAGGCCACCAGAACTCGCCATGCAGCCCAATTCTTAACCTTAACCCATGTTTAAGAAGAACCTTAACCAAATCTCAGGGTACTTAAACTCTCTTCCAATTCATAGCAACCCTCTAAGGACAAAGAATAATTACAGGGTTTCCAAGACTTCAGATCTCTATGGAAACATAAACTGGATCATCTTCCTCCCACAGAGTGGTTCTTGCATTTGAAGGACTAGTTTTTTTTCTGTTAGTAAACAAATGCTTAATCCACTAAACCCCCAGGGCTCCCTATCAACACAAGGTGACCCTATAGTATAGGGCAGATAGAATCATTTCACAGACTGCAAATCTTTCTGGAAGTAGATAGCCTAATTTGTCTTCCAAACACACACATACACACACGCACGCACGCACGAGCAGATGCAGCTCAGCTTCGCGCGCAGCCCCTAGTGTTCACTCTGTGAAGTGCAAGACCGCCTTGGGGAGGCGGGTGGCAAAACGAAATGTTATTACTGCAGATCACGGCAGCAAAGGTTTATAGAAAGTTCTAGAATGCAATGCTGACTCTCCACTTTTCTGATTCTAGTTTGCAACGTGGACACTGCGCTTGTGTTCCCCAACGCCTCCACTGAAAATGTGGTCCTCCTTCGTCCTGGCTTCCTGGGAAGCCTGCGGGCTCTGTCCTTCTGCAGCTGGGTCCGCTCGGCCTCCGGCCGTGTGGGCACGTTGCTCTCCTACGCCACCAGAGACAACGACAACAAGCTGGTGTTGCACGGCCGGGACTCCCTGCCCCCTGGCTCCATTCACTTTGTTATCGGAGACCCTGCCTTCCGGGAGCTCCCCCTGCAGCCGCTGCTGGACGGCCAGTGGCACCACCTGTGTGTGCTCTGGACGTCCACCCAGGGCCGCCACTGGCTCTACATGGACCGCAGGCTGGTGGCCACCGGCTCCCGCTTCAGGGAGGGCTATGAGATCCCACATGGGGGGTCCCTGGTGCTGGGCCAGGAGCAGGACATCATGGAAGGTGGCTTTGACAGTGCTGAGGCTTTTGTGGGGAGTCTGGCTGGCCTGGCCATCTGGAACCGGGCACTGACCCCTGGGGAGGTGTCCAGTCTCGCTGCTGGGAAAGGGGTTCCGACAGGTGCCCTCCTGACCCTGGCCAATGTCACATCGGTAGGTGGATTTGTGCAGAAGGTGACCTGTACCTGCCTGGAGCTCTGTCCCTGAGGCCACATCTACCATACAGAGCTGGGTCCATGGTACCTAAGAGGAAGCCAGTTTCTGCCAGGACTCACCACCCCCTAGCAAGGTGCTTCCTACAAACCCACACTCTGAGCTTACACACCAGCTCTGCAGTGTAAGGTGGGAACTTCCATCCCAAAGAGGCGGTGAATCAGGGGGCCTGCAAGGATCCACTGTTCACATTGCTGTGAATGTCCTATAATCAACACATCCAGGGCCTTGTTAGTCTCTTGCCTTCTGAATCTATAGCAGGCCTGGGACCTGGACTTTCAGCAGCTGGCCTCTGGGAGTGGGTCTGTGGCAATTAAAAGCCAATTCCAGATCTATTTGGACAATATTTGAACTGTCCCTGGCCTCTCTCAAGGGTGCTTGGGAAATTGTCTCTGTGGGTGACCACTGATACAAAATAAAAGGCCAAAAAGTCCATTTTTCAGTCCCTTTACCTAGAGTTTCTCCATCTCTGGGAGCTGGGGCTTCCCCTAGATCCGCTGGCCAGTCTGTTCTGCTGCCCTGAGCTGGCTGTGAGGATAGTGGAAACCCCCTGCTTCAGATCAATGGCTACTGAGCCAGACAAAGGAGCAACCTACTCACAAAAATTAACAATGGACTGGCAACATTGTTACCAACTTGATAGAATACAATTTACATGTTGTAACACTTAGCCCACTGTAGGAATCCAAGGACAGGAGCTTAGTGCTTTCTGTGCTGTGATGTTAGGCCTTCCATAAAGATTTCCGTCCTTCCATAAAGATTCAAGATTCACAGCCTCACAAACCTGAAAGACTCGCAAGCAGTGGGTTTAGTGTTGGTTTTAGGTGTACATTCCAAAGATTTGTAAGAAATGTATTGAGTTGGAAGGTTCCTGGTGGCTTAGTGGTTAAAATGCTGGGTTGCTCTCCAAAAGATTGGCTCTTTGAACTCATCAACTGCTCTCATAAAGATTAACAACTTCAGAAACCATACAGAACAGTTCTACTCTGGCTTATAGGGTTGCTGTAAGTCGGAATTAACTTTGAGGCAGTGGGTGTTGAGTTGTACAACTATTCCCACAATCTCACTTCAAAATTTAGAACAAAAAGAATGGTGCCCATTAGCAATAAAGTAGGCTCTCTAGAGAAGGAAAACCAATGAATTTTCACATATTTGTGTGTGTGCATATGCATATAGGGAGCACTGGTAACTTAGTGGCGAGAAGCTGCCCTGCAATCCCAAAGGCACACGGTTTATATCTACCAGGTGCTCCATGGGAGAAGGATGGGCAATCTCCTCCCATGTGATTAACTGCCTCTGAAAATCTGCCAGAGGGTCAGTTATGAATTGGTTGCAGCTCTACTGAACACAACACACACACAACATATATGTGTATATATGTATATATGTACACACACAGAGAAAGAAAGATATTGGTTTATCAATGACTCGCTTTCTTGTAAAAGCTGATGAATCCAAGGTTGGTAGGTAAGACAAGTTAAGGTTCAAAGACTCAAAGAACTGAGGAGCCAGAGAGATGCAAGAATCAAGATCAAGCAAAAAGTAAACCAGATCCACCAGAGATTTCCTTATAAACTAGATGCACGCTACACCCCTGATGAAGCTCTCCCTCTAACAATTGGCGGCTCATAGCAAATCCCACCAATGAAATGATACATTACATTTTCTTAAACCACATCAAGGAAATGCTGTATCCTCTCTGTCATACCAGAGATCTCTAGGCAGCCAAGGTGATGCCCGGCCTTGACTCTCATAAGCTCTGACCAGAGAAGTTTTCCCTTAGCCATGCATGGGCTTCCATTAACCATTTTCTCTGCACTGATTTCCCTGGCCTTTTCTTGTCAGTAGAACTATAGACTATGTAACCACATGTGACTGGCTTCATCCCCTTGGAATGGTATTTTCAAGATTCATCATGTTGTTCTCACCACTGGGCTGATTGGCAGCATCATGATAGATGGTGAAGAGATTGAGATTGTAAAAAGCTTTAGTTTGCTTGGCTCTCGAATCATAAGTCTTGGCACAAGTAGTTAGGAAATTAAAAGACGTATTGCATTGGGAAAGTCGGCTGTCAGAGACCTCGCCAAAGCACTCAAGATAAATTATGTCAGTCTAAAGACTAAGTTGCACCTGATAAAGGCCATGGTCTTTGCAATCACTTGCTATGTATCCAAGAGATGGATATCCTAAGGAGGATAGAAGGAGAATTGATGCTTTTGAGCTATGGTGCTGGAGAAGAGTATTGTATATACCATGGACTACTAAGAGAATGAACAGACCTGTCGTGGAGAGGGTGAAGCCAGGCTGCTCCTTGGAGGCAAGGATTCTGAAGCTTCTTCTGACATACTTTGGACATGCTGCAAGGAGGGACCAGTCCTTGGAGAGGGCCGTCATGTGTGCAAGAGAAGAAGACCCTCAATGAGATAGATTGATTCAGTGACTGGGGGTAATGGGTGTGTCAGAGACAATAAGATTGGCACAAGATAGAGCAGGGTTTAGAGCTGTTGTACACAGGGTTGTTATGAGTTGCAGGCGACTTGATGGCACATAACAACAACAACAACAATAACATCATGTTATAGCAGCTATCAGCACTTGACTCATTTTTTCGTGATTAAATAAGGGTCTCTGTATGGATAGTCCACATTTTGTTTCTCTCTTTGCTAGATTATAGACATCTGGGTGTTTTCTGCTTTTTCAGCTTATAAAGTTGTGTGAACTTTCTTATATGAGTCTCTGTGTGATGTTTGCTTTCATTCCTCTTGACTAGAATCCTGGTGAGAAATTTGCCAGGCCTTGCAGTATTTATGTGTGAGCTTTTTTTTTTTTTTTTAAAAAAAAAAGAAAAACAACAAAACCACTGAGTCATTTTATATTCCCACCAGAAACATAAGAACAATGTATTTTTTAAATAAAATTTTTAATTTATACTGGTTCAATATCAGCTGTGAAAACTAGGCCAGGAGCTGATTATGGAACAGACCACTAACTACTCATATGCAAGTTCAAGCTGAAGTTGAGGAAAATTAAACCAAATCAAAGGCAACCAAAATATGACTTTGAGTCTATCCCACCTGAATTTCAGAACCATCTCAGGAACAGGTTTGAGGCCTTGAACACTAATGAGTGAAAACCAGAT